ACACAATCTAGCAAAAAACTGGAACCAACTAGAATTATTGCAGTCGAATTGCTAGACCTCCATCCACTGAGCACTATCAAATAACATGAACCATAATGAAAGACCGAGAATCGAGCGCAAAGAAATCAACCGGTTTACATTATCTTGTGAAAAACATATTGGATACTAAACAAATATTTTGTCTTCTCACTATTGTGGTGGACCAAAAAATATCAGTTAAATGTAATACACACAATATAAATGTAGGGACGTTATATTATACGGCTAGTTTTGGTACCATAAATCCACAATTATAAAAATGTTAGTAGTCCCAGCGATATAACTATCCTTAGAATAGCATATACTTATGACTGCAGTCTATAAATGTCCACAGTATATGTATTAGAATCCAGTTAACGCATTATTGAACAATGGACAGCTTTAAGAAGAGACTTGATAACCACGTAATCACAAACGGATAATCATCTCCCACTTGGACAAGCTGTTCAAGATGCATATCTTGAGACCTGCTAGTTGTTATCATTGTCATCTCCTCAGATCACTTACCTAACCTATTGTGATGCTTAGAAGTATATGTATCAAGAATTTAAGATCTGCACAAACGAATGTATTGTATTTAGAATTCGAAATCAAGCATTTCACAACAACAAGAAGTTACTAGTTCATTCAAACACCACATCCGCCACAGCTTAAATTGGAATGTATCTGTCTGTAATCAATCGTACGTCTTCTTCTCAAATTCATCCTGTGTCTGTCCGACAGTGTATTGGATAAAGGCTCTGTATTATCTAGAATGCTCTCATTAGTATTAGAATTAACAACCGAAATTGGAACAGACTCACCTGGCTCTTGGAATTGTATTTGATCAACATGTCGATTGTGTGTACTTAAGTCATTGATATCTAGAAGTCGCACCATAGATTTCCCGACATTCTCCTGAAAGATCCTCGTGGATGGTCGAAGATCATTGCCACGATAATATGTAACTTCTGCAGACTCCAAACATCTCATATTCGACCGAAGAATTCTTCCTTTTAATAGTTTTGATGGAGTCTCTTTCGTCACCGAATGTCTGGCATTTCTATATTGCAGTAGAAAGGTATCTACTCCCCTCTCCAGCTCATTAAATGTTGAGGCGACAATAGAATCACTCAACCTCGAATGCTGATTTTTCAGCTTATGACACTTTTCGCAATTCTTTGCTGTACGACAAATATCTGCATTTAATGACTGTCGAGAAATGTAGTCAACATGTTGAATTTGCTTGGCACTCCCGTGCTGAACCATTTTCATACTTCCATTGCACTTAGCACACGTGGCTATCAAATCTTTAAGTAAAGCATCAGAATTTTCTTTAGAAACTAGGAAAGACAACTCCACTTTAAGTCTTCTCAAATTCTTTAAACCCAGTATTGGCAGTCCTGTTTCACTAACTAAAAATTCACAAGGTATATATGAGGAATTATCATCTCTTATTAGCAATTCACGACATCCTCGTATAGGCAGTTTGTGTCCAGTAATCCCCAATATTGATACATCAGTGGGTCGTATCACAACGTTCGGATCTAACGATTTCAGGTTCTTGAATGAAATAATGGACTCTATACTGCCTGTGTCCACAATAAAGTCATGAAATGAACCAAGTGATGTATATAGTCGCTTTTGAATATGAGCATTACCTTTCGAAATGGTAGTTAAAGATAAATGATCATTAGGATCAACTGAATTATTGGAATCTAAATTACAAGATTTAGTACTACTTGAGGCAAAATGAACAGTAGCTTTGCATACTGCTTGAATGTGTCCTATCTTACCACATCTAAAACATTTAGCATTACGAAATGTACAATAATAACGAGAATGACGTTTTCCACATGATAAACATTTGCCAAACTTGGTCTCACCTTTTTGATTTCCTTTGTAATTCTTTTTTGAGACACCGTTCATTTTTACACGAGAATAGGAACCTCTGTTAAACGAACACAATTTTGATTGACCCTGAGATTGCTTTTCATCATGACAACTAATCAAAGTATTGGAAATCTTCATCGACTGAATATCAAGTTCATTCAACGCCTCGTAGTTAATGCACGCAGTTCTAACATCTTGAAAGGAACAGTTTGACATTCTTAACAGCTCTCTTTCCAAACTAGGTATGTTAATTCCTGCAATTAATCGGTCTCTCAGCTGCACATGAAGTTGATTACCGAAATTACATTTGACAGCCTGTTTCTGCAATTCAAGAATGAATTCCTAAACATTTTGGTCATTTTGACGAATCATCTTATGAAATTTCGCTCTTTCACGGCATTCAAAACCAGGGCACTTTACATGATTCAATAATAACTCCTTAATCATTGCATAGGGGAGTGAAATAGGTTTATCTGGATATGCCAAGTTTTTTAATAAGCTGTATGCTTCTTTTCCGATGAATGTTAGGAAATGAGCCACAATTTTATCATCTTTGACATCTTTCCTGGTCATACTCCAGATTTCAAACCTTTCCAAATAATCTTCAAAACCATCAGAAGTAGAATGAATATCTAGCTGTTCCATTACAAGTTCCATCGCGACGCCACTGTGATGCTTAGAAGTATATGTATCAATAATTAAAGATCTGCACAAACGAATGTATTGTATTTAGAATTCGAAATCAAGCATTTCACAACAACAAGAAGTTACTAGTTCATTCAAACACCACACCTATCTAGAATATTTTCTTTGTTTCCTCTACCTTGCTTACACTACGGTCCTCTCTCACAATCTTCACTACCAATTACCAAACTAAATTCATCGATATATTACTCAGTTCTAAAATTTTATTCATATTAGCATTAGAATTTCATCCTTATTATCCTTATTACTCTCTACATTGCAACTAACTGATCTCTGGTCTGGTAATGCGACGGCTGCTGATATCCAGAAACCCTACTGCCCTGAAACAAACGTTTTCATTCGAATCCCGAGACATACAAACTCACAACCAACTGCCAACTGACTAGAATTAGACAGTCGAGTGACTAGACCTCCATCCATTGGACATTACCGAACACCTGGAACCGTACTGAAAGAACAAGAATCGAGAGCGAAGAAATCAAATTGGTTTACTCTTGCTCGTGAAAATGATATTGGATATTGGAAGAGTTGATAGAGTTAGGTTTCGAATGCGTTATAGTTATTGTGTTTCGAAGGCCGCTGGTCGCGAATATTTAAGGCCGTTGATGTGATGCTGAGTTAGAGACGCTGCAATGCTTCGCATTTTTATCCTATCATCTTTAGCACTACTGAATGCATGTGATGGATTCATGGTCGGTGCTCCAAGAAAAATTGAGGTTATCAACAACAAAGAATGGAGTAAGCAGTTGGCCGAGATAACTCGTCAATTTAATGGTGAGCATGGAAATCACAGGCTTCACAAGATGACGGAGTTGATAAATGCAACATCCAAGGTGAGGTGTTTCTTTGAAACGTAATCGTTAAGACAGGTTGTTCAGGGAACCTTATATACGTTTTTCGTTAGATTTTCGCCTACATCTTGCACAACTGATGGTACTGATGGTAACAATCGTAAGTGAATTATCAACTTTATTGATACATTTTTTCTAGGTGTTCCCAATGACGTTAACCTTGATCTGAATTCTCGTAACGTAGTAGATGGAAAGGTATTTTCAATTGTGCTAGCACTATATATTTACTATTCAGAGTCAGATTTGCAAAGCGACAATATGGCAAAGACCATGGCTTGAACCTGCAGAAATCGTCACCTTAGTGAGCTGCTCCACGGATACAAGTTGAATTGCTTTCCAGATTTATTCTGTAACATTTATTCATTCAGAAATGCTGATCTGATTTTTAATATTTCTTTATTCGTTTACCGCAAAATCTGTCTGCTTTTCATTCATTTGTTCAATTCATGTCTGATTCACAGGCTGATTTTTCACTACATTTTGATTATTTTCTATGATACCTTATAGTTGCTTCTATCATTTTTTAACTTGAATTGTATATTCTAGTCAAGCAAATACAATTTTGATCTAGTAATACATTTGCGTTATATTATTATATTAGAAGATGTTAACTTCTAAAGATCAGGTGTTGTGGCCACTACAGTGTCTAATAATCTAAAACTAATTGCAGTTTTTAAATCGAAGACTGAGCCTGTCACTGGAGCTGTGAACCGTGACTGACTAAAGTAATTAAGTCGTGTGTTGTATACGCAAAGTTACTGTCCACTGTAATGTGGAATGCTTACTAAATTCGGATTAAATTGAGAAAGCCGAATGTGACCACATAAATACTAGGTATTATTCTAAGAAGTAATTATTGGTCTGAGTCCTTAGTGAAGTTGTTAAGAACCTCAGATTAGTTCACCTGACCGAAGCTGCTACCTGGACGTGGTGGTCGGGTATGGTACAGCAATAGGGTGTTTCCCTCAGATAACCAGCATCTGCAGCGATGCTTCCTTTTTCACAAGGAAGGATGGGTTTAAATAGGTCGACCTCAAAAATTCTACACCTCCCCTACCTCACGGATTTCCGTCTCCGGCGGTAAGGGTGCCCACTAAGGACTTTCAAGAGTGGAGCTAACACTCAAAAAGCTTATCATAAAAAGGCCGTGCATGATTCGCCTCAAGCAGTTGTCCCTTTGGCTCTGCGGTCACGCTCCAATGTCTCTAAGACCAACATTATTCTATCTTCCCTTTCAGGTTTTTCAAGAAACAATCTTCCACGGTGTGGGCAGCCGGGAAGTGATAACCGCCCTCATACCCGTAACAGCACACGAGACCGAATTGGTCGAAATCAAACCCTTCGTACACCCGTTAATACCTCTGTTTTCTCCATGACTAACTCTTCTCACATTCATTAATCACAGTGCACATCTAATGCAAACGATGTGAGTTCGCAAGACGTCAGTCCTGGTCTTCTTAAACCCCGTTCTAAATTACATGTTGGAGCATTTAATGTACGGACATTGTGTCAAATGGGGCAACAGGCGTCATTAGCTAGGACCTTAGAATCTGGTGCTATCGATGTGTGCTGCGTCTCGAAAACGCGCATACAGGATCCGAGTAGCATCATTCACTTGACCTCACCATGTCAAGATAAAGAAGCAGCTCGATTTACACTTACTGTATCCGGTAGCCCTGATGCTGCTTCCAGGGTTCTCGCTGGTGTAGGTATAGCCTTGAGTCGTAGGGCAGAACAATCTTCTTGACTGGATCCCTGTATATAGTCGCTTGTGCGCCGTCCGACTAAACGGGACAGTAAGGACTCGAAAGGATAGGGACACTCGCCGTCGCCTCTTCGTCATATCAGCCTACGCCCCCACTGATTGCAACCCAGATGATGTAAAAGATGAGTATTAAATAAAGCATTCGGACCCCCTCCAAAACGTTGAGCGCTCTGATATACTTACAATGGCTGGTGACTTCAATGCTCAAGTAGGTAGACTAAGTGAAAATGAAAGACACCTAGGTGGATGTTATGGTGTCGCGGCTCAAAGAACAGACAATGGCGACCGTCTGTTGCAACTGTGCTCAGATAACCAACTATTTCTAGCAAACACTAATTTTAAGCATAGGGAAAACATCTGTTGACCTGGCGACCCGCGAAGTCGTCTCAACGTTGGAAGCAACTAGATCATATCGCCATCAGCCACCGATGGAGGGGTTCGATAGAGGACTGTCGCTCGTTCTGGGGCACATGCTTAGATTCAGATCATGCCCTAGGGTGAGCGCGTATTTGTTTGAGGCTTACTGGATGTAGGAAAGACACCGCAAGGAAACCTCTTAGGGTTTTACTTAATGATAATGAGGCTACGAATATATTCCAATAAAAACTGGAAAGAGAGTTAGGTAACCATGTAAGCGATTCGCATTCGGAAGCAGGTTGGAATGATATCAAAAAGGCTGTGGAAACAGCAGTGATATCTGCTAATAAGGTAAACCATAAGGCTAGAATGAAGCCGTGGATCTCAGTAGCATCCACCGAAATGATGGATGCTGGAAAACTCATCCCACCTGGCTCTGAACATGATGAAGAACGAAGTCAACTTAGGCGCAGACTTATAAAAAGCCTACGTAACGACCGTGAACAGTGGTTGGTGGCGAAAGCAAAAGCGATGGAAAAGGCAGCGGCGGTAGGCAACAGTAGACAACTTTTCCGACTTATCAAGGAAACTGGTATTAGGAATCCTAGTGTAAGTGAGACTATCTCAGAAAATGACGGGACCATTATTTATTCTCAATCCAGGAGACTGGATCGATGGGCAGAACACTTGAGGATTCACTTCACCTGGCCTTCAGTCACACTTCGGTTACCCACGATCTCCAGTCATCCTGAATGGCAAGTCGACTTATGTCCTCCCAGTCTACATGAAGTTGAGAAAGCTATAGGAAATCTAAAGGGAGGTAGAGCAGCAGGTCCTGATAGGCTTATCTCTGAGATGTTTAAGGATGGTGGTCCAGTTTTAGCAGCCAGGTTGACTGAGATCTTAGGTAGAATCTGGGAACTGGACGCAATCCCATCCGACTGGACTCAGTCGCTAATTGTCCCAATCTATAAGAAAGGACAAAAGTCCTCTTTTGACAATCACAGGGGAATCAGTCTAACTAATATAGTGTCTAAATTGTTAGCCTCGATTATACCTAAACGTCTAACTAGAGCTCGTGAAGAACAGACTAGAGAAAACCAGTCTGGTTTTCTACCTGGACGTGGTTGTATAAACCAGATCTTCACACTCAGACAGGTCCTGGAACACAGACACACATTTAGACGTCCGACAATAGTGGTGTTCCTGGATCTTAAGGCAGCATTCGACTCAGTGGATCTGGAGGTTCTGTGGCAGTGTCTGTTATTGAAAGGTGTACCAAAGAAGTACATTAACCTTATACAAGTTCTCTACTCAAAAACTACTGGTCGAGTGGGAGCTTATGGCGAACTGTCACCGGAATTTTCTACATCAAGTGGTGTCCGTCAGGGCTGTCCATTCTCTCCATTCTTTTTTGAATTTGTAGTAGACATCCTCTTAGAGTTAACATTAAGCTCGTCAGATTTTTCAGCGGTTGACCTTCTACCAGGAAAGTCGCTTAATGATCTAAATTATGCAGATGAAATAGTTCGATTCGGTGAAGAAGCTGACAATATGCAGAGTCTTCTGATTACCATAAGCAACAATATGAGCATGTTCGGGATGCGGATCTCACCCTCGAAATGCAAAATGATGCTTCAAGACGGGGTTGCATCGGCACATTCATGAATAACAATTGCTTATGGAAATTTAGTGCGGTTGAAGGCGAAATTGATTGATTGATTTTGCCCACCAATTTCAAGGTTCCAAAATGAGATACTAGGGTATTTTGGCATTTAAACAATTTCAACACTCTAAAAAACCTTCGAACTAGACCATTCATCGTGATCACGAAAGCTGAAGAAGTTTCTGAAGTAGTTTTCATGGATAAATGTGACTATAAAGGAAAATCGTTGCCTATTTTCGGATGATTGGAGCAAGTTCTTGGCGAGGGTTCCATGTAGTAATGATGTAGTAATGAGTTAACGACAATCTAACGAAACTCCTTAAAATGTATGTGATAAGTAAGGAAGAATTCATCATAGTGAAATCCATTGGATATGAGCTCACAAATTTATGTGGACTACATAAAATTGAATAAGTTTTCTATTTTTCATATATGGTCAACATTAATAAGAGAATTATTTAATTATGTGGTGGAAATGTTCAATTAACTTTTGAAAGTCAAAGTTTTCGAAAAGTTGATGATGATGTTGCTGTGGATAGTGGTTTGACAAATTTCTAGCTGATGGATAAATGTTATGTGTTGAAAATTTCGGCAAGTGAGGTCATCAATGAGGTAACTCTATTCAGGAGATATATGGATGATGTATTAGTTGTAAGTAATGAAGATTTACTAGATAAAATCGAAGGTGTATAGAATGATATGATACTGACCTATGAGGAAGAAAGTAATCACCGATGGCTTTTTCAGGCATGCTTTTGAGTCGTAAGATGGAATATTGAAGCGGTCGGTTTGTCGGGAGCCAATGTTGAATAGGCAATATTTAAATTTCCACAATGTTTCTGTCCATTGCAACACAAACGAGGTTTGGCAAAACGCCCCTTCAAAAGGACGCTGTGAATAGTTAACCATGTCTAAAGCTTTAGAAAATTCTTATTTTAGCATTAGAACCAAGAAATAATAAACTTCCTATTTCTTATAGATTTAACTGGAAGTATGAAAAGGTATGATCGATAAGCTTTTATCGGTACCCATATAACCATCGCTGTGATTAGAAGGATAAAACCTGGTGTGAGGGAGGTGTGAGAGAGTCTATTGTTCTTTGATACAGCTTTTGGGAACAAAACTTCTTTTCATGTGGGTTAGAAATCTTAATCTTAACAGCGTTTATAAAATCTTTCTTGTTAGGATTAAACGTTTGAGTATATACCTATTTCGCTATTGGTAGATATCAGGTCAGAAGTCATAAGATCGTTGTCAACATCTAGTATACATTACTTAATAATGTGTAGTTCATAGGAGTTTAACATTCCTGATCCGAAGGACTCGTTGTAGCTTCGATATCTATATTTTCGTCTTAGCTGCGCTTTTGTGTAGGTCATCGGTTGACGGTCTTATCTAGGATTGTAAACTTGGTAAGTGCACAACTAAGTTTCTCATTCGCTAAATATTTACAAATCATTTGCGATATTCACCATGAAGCATGGGGTATAAATAATGACAGAATCGTCAGTATTCGAATTATTAGGGCTTGTAGGATTTA